CCTTTACGTCATTGTTTGATGGCGTCATGGAATGGTTTTGTGACGACGGCAATGCTTGGCAGCATCTGGCGGCCAGGCCTAAAGAATAACTCGAAACTCACGAAAGCTGACGCCAACCGGCCATTTTCACCGCGGGCGCCGTGTTGGATGGCGAATTAGTGAATTGCTTGTTTGTGGACTTCTTGTATTGGTAATGGTCGTAATAGAGGTGATCGACAGCTTTTAGGGCAGGTTATTCATATCAAACCACGATATCCTGTGAAGACCGTCATATAGCGTCATGAATCTGACCGAAACCTGCCAAGGACTGTTGGGAATGTTAATACTGAATTTTTGACTCACGCTTCCCTTCAGTGCTGCATTCCTGACATTGACGTCTCGTGATGTGCACGGTAATGACTTTCTTTATTATTGGTGACTGGAAATGTAGTTGCATGCGAAAATTAATAAATCTGCAACATTGCTATGAGTTGATTGCCAAAGCATTGTTATGTCGGTGGTAAAGATGGCAAATTTGAGCTACCAATCATGTTTTTCTTGCTTAGGACTATTTATACACTCACTAGTTAGCCCTGATATAACCATTGTGGTGCAACAGCATTCTCGCTGATGATAGTCCTTTGGCGTCGTTAAATCAGTTGTTACGTCATTCATGAATTATAAGCTGTTTGACATAGAGTAGTCAACCAATTTGGTACACTGTGTAATGGCACTGTCCAACAGTGTCATCATGGCACTACCTCAGTGCTGTACTGTGGTATGGCATAATGAACAATTATATGTTTTTTGTACTGCAATCCCGGCTGCTTTCGTAGTAAATTTAATCATGAAAAGATGGGTAAAGCATGCATTCTTATATTAACTACGCATCTGACATATGACTGCCCAAAAACACATGATGCAATATACAAATCACTTTCAGCAAAGCACACAACCAATAAGTGACATCACTTGCTTAGACTGTTTTGGGAATCCACAAAACATAGGTGACAGGGATGCAAACACCTCCTCCGCTTCCACAGCCAGACAACATGCTCAACCATCAGGTTGCTTTACTCACAAATATCGTTCACACAGGTAATAACACATGCGTAACAAGAAAATATTACACGTAGTGGAGTGACACTGGAAACCTGCTGACCTTACACAACGCTAGAGACATGACAAGTGCATGTAGTTATGGTTAAAGAGGCGGAATGCAAGGAAATGTTGAATCTGCCGGTGCACACAGGCTGATGATAAAAATGTTGTCAAGTGCTATCCAAGCAACCAACAGCGATACTTCTCCATGCTTCTCAGCACCCAGCATCTTACACAAGCTGCAGTGACTACGACAATGGTGACTCACAAGCAATGCTTGCCCGCATACAATTTTTTTGAGACAGCTGTATTGCGCATCCATAATAATTCAACACTATATTTTCAGAATTCTTAATTGGAAGACAGTTTTGCGAAGCTGTATCATGCAAACCTATACCAAGCACGTGCATTTATGAGCTGTACTGACACGTCCTTACTGCCTAAGTGAATTGCTAATATAATGGCGTACAATGATTTAATTATATGCTGTAATACCTCAATGGGTTCAAATTGTTGGCAAGATCATAGTGAAGTAGAAAATTGCCTTTGAACACCCCTGCAGCATGGGTGCTAGTGTTTCTTTCAGTTTGCTGATCACTACCTTGTCATGTTCAAACAAACCGAAACATAGAGGCAGGTATCAATGTGTCACATTTTACTGCGAGTTATTGGATTTAAGGAATGCCTAAACAATGTTCTCTCTCAGAAGTACAAGCCCCGCACGCACACTCTCCATCACATCAAGATCAATACGAGCCACTGGCACCCACCACCAATGGTCACACCCATTTCAAGCACCTGATTCACACTCCAATATCAACTAGGTGTGACCCCACACTTGCGCAACCCACGGGACTACCAAATGCAGGTTTTCTCGGGGCGCCGGTAGTTTGGGAAACCAGAGGTACGGGGTTCGATCCCCCGCGGTGCCCGCCCTTCCTGCCAGGCTGAGAGGCAGGCGACGCCATATAGCTTCAGCAGCTGAGTGCGTCGTAAAGCCCCAATGACTGACACATGCAGATTTTCTCGCAATATCCGTACAGGTTTTCGGCTATAACACCGCATTTCCTTGTGAGCTCCCTTCAAAACAAAATCCCAACGTAGGCTCATGGTAATACAACTCATTGTCACACAATGTGTGCTAAATATTATATATATATGTATATATATATATGTATATATATATATATATATATATATATATATATATATATATATATATATATAATTACTGCAATGTTTTCCTAAAGTTATAATGCCTTGCTAACCCATAAACCCGCGCAAGGTGCTTTGTTCCGGTGCACAAGGCTGCAATCGAGTTGTATGTAAGAAATACGTCAGTAGAAGAAGAAGAAAAACCGCCAGCAGCAGAAAAAGTCAGATGTGCCGTCGCGTCTTCTTTTTTTTATAACATTTGGGAGAGTGCCGTTCTTTTTGGGAGCTGTACTTCTTGCGGACAGTGGCATCCTCTTTTTATAACATTGGCCTATGGTTTAGAAATATGGAAAATGCCCCGCTGGCGACGAGTGCTGCGCAACCCGAAAGTGCTCACGCTTACGTTTGCGACACGCATTCAGTAGCGAAATTGTTACCAACAGCCAATCACCTTCCGTTGATTGTATCATGCGTGCCGCATCACCGCTCTTACGAATGTGTTAGCGGCCATGCTGTTTTGACCATAAGCAGAAAACAACCTGTAATATAACGGCAACCCTACAATGACGTTTCTATGACGATATCAATGCCAAGGTGACTTTGAAGTAGTCCCCCAATAAGACTTCTCGCACTCTTGCGAGCGTATAACCCAGGAACCATAGGGCTTTGGGTCTTAAAAAGGGCATGACCGTGAAGTGCATTAGGTCTTCAATAAGTCTATTTCAGTCCAAACCCCCTCGTAAATGTGGAACATTCCCTTTAATTTTACCCCGCCGTCTCAGGTCGTTTCCGTGCTGGACAATGCTGTGATGTAGGCGTGGCGTGCTCTGCTAGGCTGACCGTTCATCATTGCGCAGCTAACCCCTGGACTCCTGATAGGGCGGAAAACGTGCGCGTTTGAAGATTCGAACCCAGCGCGCCGGTAATCAGCGAGACACGACCCCGCCTCCGGTATACGCCTGGGTTACTGGCTGCTGGCTGGATCAATGTCCTGGCATGCAGCGCTCCTGCTGTGGCTGCTCGGGCTGCCGGGCAGGCTGTCCGTCCCGAGTGGCTGACGCCGCCCCCAGACCAACGGCCGTCAAACGCGAGGCCGGCCAGTGGGGGTCGTGGCTCAGATATGTCCCGCGATGTCGCACGGCACAGATTGTGCCGGCGCAAGGCGCACGACACGTCTTTTTACGCCGCGGGCTGCTCGGAGGGCTCGCTCAGGTCCTTCCCCTTTGGTTTCGCCCATGAGTGGTGATGGCGGGGATAGGTATGGGAGATGCAGGTCACGCCCCCACATGTGTAAGACCCTGAAAGGGACACCATGGATTGATCGAAATGACCCGCCATGGGCGACAGTGAGTGACTGGAGCCTCGCCGAGCAGCAGCTTCACGCCGTGGGAAGCCTTTGCTGGCCGCGTTCCATTTTCTGAAAATGCGTTTCCTGTGCCAGCTTGGGTGCAGGGGCGCCGACTCATTGCAGGCGAGGCCTGCGCGGCGTCAGCTGCGGCACCAGCTTGGGATACGCGCCATCGTGGCCAGAATTTATTGTTTGCAAAAATCGGGCACCATCCCAGTGCTGCCGGGGCTGATTCAGCGCGCCATGGCCTGTAACGTGAATTCAAATCGTTCCTTATCTCTGTCGCCATAAGTTACGTTACACAGTTCGGCAATTCCCCATGGCTAGGCACTGGTCATGTTGGGAGAAATCTCCTCCGCTGGTGACACTGTGTAAAGTGTCACGTCCCATTAGGTAACGCCTGCTTAGCCTACAATTGAGCGGGAAGGTTTAAATATATTGTTTAAGAGGCTGTGACATGGTTTGCACCACACCTGAAGTTTCTGTTACCCTGTTGACCCTCTTCCCTTGACACGCTTCGTTTACGCTTCATCAAAACTCCCCTCCCCCTCCATATAAAACAGGATTCATGAACGGCCCTATAGCAATTCGCTAGACGAACAATCTGACAATTTTGACTTAGCCTAGGTCGCTGGTGTCGATATTGTACACTGCGGATGGTCATGCGTATACTATATATATATATATATATATATATATATATATATATATATATATATATATATATATATATATATATGTAATGGCGCATTTTTCGTGAGCAGGTTGCATCTTTTTCACTGGTCAGCCCCATAGCTCTCCCAGCAACAAGCTCTGCTTGGCTGGGTGGACTCCCTGGAAATCCAGCCCAAAACCCCAAAAATAATAAAAAAATAGCTCATTTTGCGAATCTACACCTCTGGATGTATCCCTGTTTCGCGGAATGGGTACCAGTGGCAAGGGGACAGTGCGTAGTTTTCGTCATGTGGTGCGTAGTGGCCAGAGCGTTACCAGGTTAGAAATATTGGAAAAACAAGCGTCCAGTTCCTGGCGATCAGCATTACGATATACCTCAGCATACTAAGGTTTATAATGATATATGTTTTAGGATGCGACCGGGTAACTGTAGCAACGTCTGATGTTTTTTCGTACGTCGGTTGACATTGCGAAGCGTTCATTCTATATGTGTGTGTATTCGGCCAGACATTCGCCATCAATCTGCTGCGCTGATTGGTGGATATAGTCCGTCCGTACCTCCGCGCCTAAGTCTGCCCAGTCGCGGCGGACTAGGCGGGCGCACTGCGAGCCCATGAGCCTGGTGCGCGTGAGCGTTTGTCCGTTGTTCACCATGCTTGTCTCGTGTCCTGAGTGAGGCTCGGGCTGAGTCACCGAAGCCGCTCGGCGCGTCTCTGACCTCTGACCTGGCTCTCCGCCGCAGGAGGACACCGCGCTCGTGGAGAAGGGTTTTGCCAACCTCAACAAACAGATCCAGAACACGCTCAAGTTTGGCGTGCCCGTGGTGGTCGCCATCAACAAGTTCAGGTGAGCCCGGCTGGCGGGCGCTGGTGACGGCAGCGGGTATGTGCTTCATGGCTTTGCTGATAGGCTCGTCAGGGTGTGTGTGTGTCTGTGTGTGTTATTGGGGCCTTACGACACACTCAGCTGCTGAGGCTATATGGCGTCGCCTGCCTCTCACCCTGGCAGGAAGGGCGGGCACCGCGGGGAATCGAACCCCGTACCTCTGGTTTCCCAGACGCGCAGTGGTGAACGCAGACGCGTTAAACACTACACTACCGGCACCCAGGGTCAGGGTGTGAAGGCTGAACACATGTGACAGGGTTAACACGATATAGAGTCTCCGAGCTAGTGCCGTTTGGACTCAATTTGAACACCCCGAAGTATGCATGATGCGTCACGCTTTCATGATGCGTCACGCCTGTGTGAACAGACCTTAATGGCCTGTGCAAACCTGATGTGGGGATTGGCTGGTATTCCCCGTCGGCCCCCCCCCCCTCCCCATGTCAAAGTTTCACAGAATTATTCATTGCCGTTGAATCATTCGTGTCAAACGCGGCCAAACGCTGACATCATGTTCAGGTTAACCAACAGCAAACAACGCACGTCACTTCGCCGAAATCGCACATCTCGCAGCCGGCGCGCAGGGCTTATCGCACTTCCTGTGGCCGGGCGTGGCGTGGCGCGGCCGCGCGCGCCGCGGACCGCCGTGTCCGGACCATGGCGTCATCGGCCGGCCGTGTGGACGGGCCGACCACTTCCGCTGTGACGTCACAGGCTCACGCGCCGCCGGCCGGATGTGCGCCCGCCGCGCGGCCGCCTCCGGAGGACGGACCGCGGTCGGCCCGGCCAGCCGACCTGTGCCCGAGCTGGGACCGGCCGCCGCTGATGGCTGTGTCAACACGCCGCCTCTGGGGCCAAAGTGACCACTCACTCGGTGGGTGGTCACTGGCAAATACACTGATACGCTATCCTGGCTGGGCGCCTGGTTACCCGCGCTTATCGTTCGGCTCCTCATGCTTGCTAAGCGCGGGCCCGAACGAACGCCTTTGTTGCCTGGCTATAAGGTTATATCCTGGGAAGTTCTGACACATGAAATCAGACACTTCCCGCAAATTATTTTGATGTTTTTGAGCATAAATGCTGATCGTTGGGAACTGTGGTCATCGCGTGTGGTGCTGTGCTTTCTGGTGTTCAGTTCATGCAGAGGTGGAAGGCGACGTACGGTGGAATTATACTCTTCAGCAGACATGTATCGCAGCGTGGTTCCGCTTCAGACGGAATTCAACTCCCGAGCTTTGTCTCCCTTTCCCCGGTCACTAAGGGGTTGATCATGTGCCGGCCCGGATATGAGGCCCGCTCGTGGTAAAGACTCTCGAGAGTTTGCTACCAACGACGAAACGGCTTGGGTGCGTACGTGCGTGCGTGCGTGCGTGCGCGCGTGCGTGCGTGCGTGCGTGCGTGCGTGCGCGCGTGTGTTAACGTCTGGCGTTCCCTCTGTTCGCATTGTCATATTGTGCCCGTTCTTGTTACTGTTGCAGGCTGTCCCAAGGTGTCTCATCTGGCTTACCTAGCTTACTGATCTCAACGGTGGGTTTAGTATGCAAAAAAGCCAAATAAGTGGTGACGCGTCCAGCAACGACGACAGCGGCTATTCGAACCGAAAGGTCGTCCGTCCCCCCCCCCCCCCCTAAACACACGCACACAAAAGAACATTGTCCGTCCGGCTGACCCGGAAGCGAGTCGGGTTTGATGTGAAGGGCTGTGAGCTTTTTTGGAGGGCTTCAGTTATTGGTTGGCACATAAGTCACGGTGTTGATCTGTGCCTGGTGGCTCACTGCGATGTCCAGAATGAGCACGCTGGAGTTAGTCAGTTTGTTTTGGGCTGGCTGTGTTGGGCACTTTGCAAAGTGCTGCCCGAGGTGGTGACCCTCATACTATTCCAGGGTGAGAGGATTCATCTGTTCTTCTCCACAATATTTTGACTTTTGTTCCGCCTGAAAACAGGTCATGGAATCGAACCCTCAGCCGTCGTGACGAACGGGGTTGACACTCACGAGTAATCTAGTAACTAGATGCGATTGAAGCAGTTGACGGATTTATAGAATGGGAGTCCCGGAAAGGATTTTGGGTACGGCAATGTGCCATTTGAAAGCATCTCTTAGCGGGCGTATTGGTCACGGCGAGCTCCTTCTCCGTGCGAATGTTGGACTGGAGTCTAAAAAACTAGAGATCAGTGAAGGCCAACGACTGAAATCAAGGTACTCGCTCCCGGTGTAGACTTTTTGTGCAATATGGTCGGGCTACGGCCGTGATAATGTATTTGAATCACGCCTACAGCACAAGTTACATTACGTTTTGAACTCAGCGAAAGGTGACGTGATAACAAAGATGTCCAGAGCTGTGACAAGCGTAGTCTTCAAGTTAACTTGCGTTCCAGCGAGTACCGGCCATTTTGCCGATATACAAGACAGTTTGTTGCTCCTGCGTGAAGACCATCTGCTCTAGCCTCTGACCTAAGCTCCGCTTGTCTCTGGACAGGTGGTAAACAATGGGCTTCAGATTTATTCGGATGCAAAATATCAAACGTACTCAGTTCCTCTAAACAGAACCGTGCGTTGACTGTAGATATCTGAGCGTTGAAACATTCAAGGAATACGATAATATGACATCCTTGGCTTTGCTTGACATGTATCGGTAGTAATTCGAAAGTTGTGTGCCCTAACATGCCGTTGACAGAAACTTGCGGCCTGTGTAAGCTGTGTTAGTCAGATACCCTATACGACCCTGGATGTTCACCCATGGATAACACATAAGGTGTAACATACTAGACAGCCTGCTCTGCACTTTCACCCGTCTGCGTGCGTGCCCGTAAACTCGATGTTCCATCACGGTTGTGTAACGCGATAAATTTGCGTTACGAAATTTTTCTGGTTTCTATCGCTCTGAAAATCTTGTCTAGGCACAAATGAACGCCCCATAATTAAGGATTCACGATTTATGCCACAAAAAGCGGCGTTCTCCGGACATTTCATTGGTCAGCAGAGTCCGTTGGTGGGAGCAGCACTCTTGACAGGCGCAGGCGCCCGGCCCCCATGGCCGATTACTAAGGGATCACCGCTTCCTACGTGAGCCCCGGACGGCCGCCGGCGTGGCTGGCCTGCCTTGGAGACGTCCTAGACTGAGAGTGTCCCGGGGAGTTCAGGTCATAACGCCTATCTGCCCACACTGACCGCGACCCCGACCCCAGCCCCGACCGTGACCTACCTCGACCCAGATCCCGACCCCAAATCCTACCTAGCCCCCGACGGAGACTGCGCCGGCTCTGACCCACAGCCGGCCGGTCAGCGCGGCGCCCGTCGCCCGGGGCGACAGTGTACAGGTCTCGGCAGGAGGGCGGCGGACTGCCGTTGGTGCCGGCCCCGCCCGTGGCCGCGCTCTCTTGCCGGGCGGCGCGCCACCGGCCGCCTCAAGTGCGGCCTGTCTGGCGGTGTGGCCGCCCAGCCCCGGGCCAGAGTCCACCACCAGGGTCGGCTGGCGCGCCCGGTGACGGCATGTCGACTCGTCTCCCCCTCCCCCCCCCCCTCCCGCCATATCCGGTGGCCCCGCCACCTGCGCTGGCAGTGGGACTGGACGTGGCGACGTTACCGCCGTTGGCCGGTTTCATCAGAAAATGAGGCAGATTGGGTAGACTGCTCTGATTTGAGCCGTGTGAGTGCATGGGCTAGACTTCTCTAGTTTTTACCGACTCATCTCGCTAGTCAGCGACGTAACAAACGTGCGTGGCAAGAATGAGGTACAGTGGTATTCTGTGGTAAGATGTACGATGAGGTACTATGGTACGATTGGCTTTTGTGCGGTTCACATGTCTACATAGTGCGATTTGTAAATGGGCTGGGATATAGTTCGGGTTTTATATGAAATTCACCACAGCTCTCGCCATACCGGCCGTGTTTGGAGGATGCCGCGGGCTTGCGGGTAGCAGTGTGGTATGTGGGTTCTGGGTACTTTCGGAGGGGAGGGGTGGAGGGTACTATCGAGTGGAATGGGAGTGTGCGCGCGTTCTCAACGTCGACTGGGGAGGGAGCAAGTGACCCTCTCAGTTGAACGTGTCACCCTGCCAAAGCAAGTGACCTGACCTGACCTGCCCTGATGTCCATCGCTCAGCACTGACACTGACGCCGAGCTGGAGCTTATCCAGCGCTTGAGCCGCGCCGCGGGCGCCGCCGACGCCGTCATCTGCACCCACTTCAGCGGAGGTGGCGCCGGCGCCCGCCAGCTGGCCGAGGCCGTGGAGCTGGCCTGCCAGCAGCCCAAGCAGCTTCAGGTCAGTCCCCGACTGCCAGCAGCCCAGCAGCTTCAGGTCAGTCCCCGCCTGCCAGCAGCCCAGCAGCTTCAGGTCAGTCCCCGCCTGCCAGCCGCCCAGCAGCTTCAGGTCAGTCCCCGCCTGCCAGCAGCCCAGCAGCTTCAGGTCAGTCCCCGCCTACCAGCAGTCCAGTAGCTTCAGGTCAGTCCCCGCCTGCCAGCAGCCCAGCAGCTTCAGGTCAGTCCCCGCCTGCCAGCAGCCCAGCAGCTTCATGCCGGCCCCCGCCTGCCAGCAGCACAGCAGCTCCAGGCCAGTCCCCACTTACCAGCAGCCCAGCAGCTTCAGGTCAGTTTCCGCCTACCAGCAGTCCAGCAGCTTCAGGTCAGCCCTGTTGTGTCGCAATGTGCCAGCAACGTAGCAGCTTCAGCTTGCGCGGCTCAGCATCCCAGCAGCTGCATGCCAGTCCCGGCGCTTCAGCTGCCCATCGCCGGCTGGCCAGCGATCGGGCAGCTTCAGGTCAGTTCGTGGGTCTGTGGGCAAGCCTGTGTGAATCAGCAAACCCATGTCTGACTTAGCATGTTCGAACGGTAGTTTTAGATCAGCGGTTTTGGAGATGCGTGGCCCGAGTTAAACGCTACCCTCCTCGCAAAAAAAAAAATGGGTGCGTGTCAAAGCCCAGTTGTCATGATCAGATTAGTGTTACCGTTAGACGTCTAGAGGCGAGGTCATCGATGGTCCAGAGACTTCAATTTAGTTGACGTGCCTCATTCAGCATCTGTATTGGAGCAGAACAATCAGTTCAAAGCCGTCGCAGCTGTTCTGGCTCACCACCATTTGGCTTCACCCAACCTTTTGACCTTACCTCACAACCACTACAACCTCTTGGCCTACGACTCACCGAACAAATAATAAATGACCATCGCATTCGACGCGGCCTAAAACCAGTCGAAGGTCAATAGGCGGTGAGTCGGGGGTAATAAGGCGAAAGTCACCCGGGACAAATAATCAAAAGTCAATAGGCAGTGTCAGCTCAGGTGTGTTACCAGACCGGCGACTTCCGTCCCACGTGGGCCGCCGCACGCCGGATCACGCCGCTCGCCGGTCACGGGCTCCTGAGTCACGCTCGCCACCGTTACCTGCCGCTCCGATGTGGCATGTGCCAGCGCGCATCGTTCGCGGCTTGCAGCGAAGCACGAGCCGCACAGCTCAGACCGCTTTTGTGTGGCTTGTTACGAGTGTCCTGTTCAAGTATGGAGCCGGCCATTCCCGTTCCTTTGCCTGGTTTCGCTGTGAAGTGAGACGCGCCGCTGTGAAGGACGGCTGCTCGCTCGTTTGTCTTACTTGTCAGATAACTGACTGGTGCATAACCATGTAACTGGAAGGCTGGCCGTTATTGTCCGTCAGGGAGAGGCGGCTTCACTCGGCCCTGGAACAGATCGGGCCCACCAATAATGCCGTCTGATTTTATTTGGGCTCGGACGAGCAGACGCTCTGATTCCAAAGTGAGGTTTTCAACCCGATAAATGGAAAACATACAAGGACATTATTTTTCGGGTTGTCTTCGGTCATATTGCTACGAACTAAAATGTGCTGACACAATGACAGTGTGACTACGTGTCTGCCAGCCATACTATGCCAACATTTGGAAGGATTATATATCATGAAGATCAGAGCGATTTAAAATACAAATATATCAAACCAATTAGGAGGGTATGCTTCTCCCTTGGACGTGGTTGTCAGAAACGATTCTTGGCGTGGCCGGTCGTTTTAATCTCTCGACCAATCAGTTCTCCAGCCCGACCTCCGCCGAGCTCACCGTCATGATCATCACCATCATAGAGCACTCATCATGACCATGATCATGACCATCATAGAGCACTCCCCACTCGTTACGGTTGCGAATGGTTACCGGTGTCAAACACTTCACCATCGCAAAACGTAGGGTGCTGGTCGCCGACTGTGTGTGTGTGGGTGTGGGTGTGGGTGTGGGTGTGGGTGTGGGTGTGGGTGTGGGTGTGGGTGTGGGTGTGTGTGTGTGTGTGTGTGTGTGTGTGTGTGTGTGTGTGTGTGTGTGTGTGTGTGTGTGTGTGTGTGTGTGTGTGTACGTGCGCGCGCGCGCGCGCGTGCGTGCGTGCGTGCGTGCGTGCGTACGTACGTGCGTGCGCGCGCGCTTGTGTGAGTTCAGTTGGGCTGTCGGGCGGGCGGGTCGCTGAGCGCGCTACTCCGGCCGCCAGGTTCCTCTACGACCTGACGCTGCCCATCGTCGACAAGATCCGCATCATCGCGCGCCAGATCTACGGCGCCGACGACGTGCAGCTGTCGGAGCAGGCGCAGGCGCAGGTGGAGCGCTACACCCGCCAGGTACGGCTGCTGCGCCTCGACTATAGTCCTCGTCCGCCACCACGTGTAACTCACGTAGTACTAGTTGTACTGTTATTTTCTCACAGCGGACGCGCTGTTTTGCCTAATATGTTTGCTGCTCAGTATCCTGCATCGTGATCGTGTGCCATTGTCGGCGTCCGGCCACGTGCGGTGCGCAGATCGTACATTCTATACAAATAATGCTGCAAAGTTACCTAGACCACGTTACGACCACGACCGTGTTGTGTTAACCAGTGCCGCGCCGACCGTGACGCAAAATGTGCACAATGTAAATGGGTAGTACGCCCGGCAAAGCGTCTGGCGGCTGCGCTCGGTGTCCGTCTCTTGCCCGCCTGACCGCCTCGCTCGCCGACGGCGCCGCCAGGGCTTCAGCGAGCTGCCTATCTGCATGGCCAAGACGCACCTGTCGCTGTCGCACGACCCCAGCTGGAAGGGCGCGCCGACCGGCTTCACCCTGCCCATCCGGGACGTGCGCGCCAGCGTCGGCGCCGGCTTCCTGTACCCGCTGGTGGGCACGGTACGTCCCGCTGCGGACCGACGCCGTCGTCCGACGACGGCGTCGGGTGGGGATGTGTGACGAGGTTCGACAATGCTGGTATTGTTATGGCTGAAGACTGCGGCGACACGAAGACTACGCGCATTCAAATCAAGCGTGTGTGCCGTTTTGGGTTGTGATGACGTGCGTTAGGCAATCTGTTCACATGGATGGCATCTGTTGCATCTGTTAGGCATCTTATGGATATACGGCGCCTGTCCGTGCTGTCTGTGAGGCCGGAGAGGGGGCGCCGTGTGCCGAAGCCCCGGTGCCGCTGTGACTCCTGACTCCGACCCCGCCAGATGAGCACCATGCCCGGCCTGCCGACTCGGCCTTGCATCTACGACGTCGACCTGGACCTGGACAACGGCGACGTGCAGGGCCTGTTCTAAGCCGGACCGGTGGCGCCACCTGTGGCCGGCCCGGGCCTGCGGAGTCGCTGGTGCCGCGCCGGGTCGCTGCGGGCGCCGCCGCCCGCCGGCAGCTGCCTCTCGTGCTGCTCGCCGCCGAGCGGCGCGGGGCTGATGCCGATGTCTTCCGGCGCGAAGCGCTGGATGATTCGAAGTGGTGGAACGACGGAGCCGTGGGCTCGTGGGCTGAGATTGGTAGAAGGTGGGGGATGATTCGGAGTGGTGGAACGGCGAAGCCGTGGGCTCGTGGGCTGATATTGGTAGAAGGTGGAGCGAGTAGGAGGTCGGTTGCTGGGCATTGCCAGCTGGTGAATACGCCGGACCGTGGTGCCTCGGCGTGGTACGTACCTTCCGAAGCATGTTTAAGCGGCATTTGTGGGCCGGTGCCAGGTTTGGATGATAATTGTCGGATCGCGTCACTTTCGTCTCGTGGACATCTGTAAACAATGGGGTGCATTAAGCTGTGTCGCAGATAAGCTAAGCGGAGGGGATACTAATTTCTGGGGTACTCAGCACGTTATGGACGGAGCCCGATTATTTTGCATCTGTTACCACACTGAGAGAGGCCTCAGCCGTCGTAAGCCTGGGTCTGAAGTGTGCTCCGTGAGGAAGGTACCATCGCCATGCCCTGGGCACGGTCCGTCACGTCACAGTGCTCACCAGTTGTGTCGTCTTAGGCACTGGAGTAAGTGCCTCAACGATTTCAAGCACTTGACAACCGCTCAGTCGCCCGTCTGTGTGCCAAAAGATCAATGACCTGCGGAAGTGCCCGGTGACCAGTGGTGCGTCGGTGCGATGCCACCTCGTCGTTCGGCGTGCCATGCGTGACGCCTGGGTCCGCCTGGTCCGCCGCTGCGTACCCGTCTGGACTGGTACCGGGGCGTGGTCCCGCGCTCTAATTCACCGCCTGATCCGCCGCGCACAGCTGTGTGGCTCAGCGATCAAAATGCAGCGTACACACGGTACAAATAAAGTGCCTCACATATGTTTGAGTAACGCGGGGTGTAGTGGGTCTGTCTAATCGGTAGAGGCTATGTTATGTTTCAGAGCGGACTTGTGAAGCGTTGTGTTGGCGGTACTGCTCAGCGGCCGAGCCGCCGGTGCCAAAATAGTTGATTTTTTAATATACGGCCGACACACATGCGCCTGGTTTTTGTCTGGTGCGGCCGGGACTGATCAACGACAGGAGGCACACAGCAGGCGGGTGACAGGGAACACATTGGTGGGTTGGTGATGATGGTGCTGAGTGGCGTGACAGCGCTGTTCGTTCGTAACGTGTTGTTTTACTGTAAATGACTGCTCGTAATGTGTTGCAGCATTCATTAGGGAGAACACATGAGTAGGCACGCGACCATATTAGTCCGCGCTGACTTCATTTACATATGTCTTCGTAGGGAGAAAAACATTGACGGTCCGCACCTGAGCCGCGATCACCCGACAGCGAGGGCGGACGAATTAGGCACAGCTGGTGGCTTGCAGTGACCGATGCAGGTGTTCATATCTCACCCTGACGTGCGGCGACCGACGCTGGTCGATGTACCCGGCCGACGCTGGTCGATGTACCCGGCCGACGCTGGTCGATGTATCCGGCCGACGCCGGCCAGTCCGCACCGCAGACGCGCGTGAGTGCCTGAGGCTGACCCCGGGTCCCTAAAAACACCTTCAGCGACGGTAGCAGATTTCATTGGTGCCGTTTTCGGGATTCGGGCTTACACTCGCTGAACGGAGCGGGGAACGGTAGGTTTAGTGAGATGTTGCAAGGAAAGTTCAAATGACCGTCAAGACCCGCCCCACACAGGTGGCGGTGACCGCGTGGCGCCGCAACATTCGCGTCAGACAAGCACGTTCGCACACGCGTTCTAGGTGCGATACACACCACTTGTACGGTGTGTATACACACCACTTGTACGGTGTGCTGCCCTTGTCTAAAAGGTAAGCACAGCAGCGTCGGAACGGGAGGTTCCGCGCCCGTGGCATTCCTGACCTGGTCATGCCGCGAGACAGGCGTCTGCTCGGAGGTCGACTCGGGGTCACAGGAGCGGTCAGTGGATCTCACGGTCCTCATCTCACTCACACCCAGCGGTAAGGAAACATGCGCAGGTGCACATTCCTCCGAACGCTTCATAGACTCATGGCTATACAGCTCAGGTGATATGGGACCAGCGCATGCTCACGCTCACTCCACTTGGGCGTCACGGCGGCGTGAGGGACAGGACGGGGCTTAAGCTTGTGGACAACATTTTTCCACTCCCCAAGCCGGACCCCGTAAGAGAGCTCGCGTACTTTGGCCACAACAGCGGGCTTCCATGGCCGAATGAACTTATAGTCCTCGTCTCGCGTAGCGACGTGCCAAAACAGAAACACTACTTCACCTGACTGGTAAGTGAACTCGTTCAGCTTAGACTCGTGTAACCGTTTGTTTGTTGCATTGCTGTCGTCTGACCTACTAGCAGCGAAGTGATACGTCTTGCGCAGACCCGCACACAGGCGGTTAATATACGCTGCTATGGATTCAGACTTCAGAGCACGAGGAGCATCGAGCTCGGTGTCAGTCGGCAGACGGGGCTCACGTTCGAACATGGGGAGCAAGGGGCTGTAGCCTAGCGATTTGTGCACCTGCGAACGATGTTCCATCATGAACAGTGGCAAGAGCACATCCCACTCGTCATGGCTTTCGTCTGGGTATTTGAAGAGAGCATTCAAAATGGCTCTCATCATGCGATCACATTTTCCATCACCCTGAGGATGACCACTGGAGGTGTTGTCTTCTTATGCCCATCAAACTGCACACCTCGGACATCACCTGACCTCGAAAGTTGGCGGCAGAGTCAGGACGCAGGTACTTGGGACAGCCAAAGCGGGAAAGCAGGCCATCAACGGGCGCAGTGGCATCCATAGTTGCAGACATGTCCGGCAGAGCAAAAACGTCGCAATAGCGTGTGGAGTGGTCACTGCACACCAGCAAATGTTTAGTACCCCGAGCTGTTGTCCATGGAGACTATCTCCCACGGCTCGTACGATCGCGGCTCTCCCAATGATGCGCGAGGCTGCGGGACGAGTGTGTCACGAGAGCTGCGACGCTCACAGCTCCGGTAACAGCTGTAGACAGCAGCTGTCGTAGCTGACCACCCAAACCTCAGCTGAGCCAGGGAAAACAGCCTATCGTGACCGAAGTGGCCTCCGGCGTGAAGTGACGTCAGAGCACCGCCCACAAGACTGCAACACATCACTACCTGCAACCTCTCACTGTCGTGCGGACGCCTTTTGAAAACACGGACAAGACACCCTCCACAAGACGAAGACGGGGCCCCTACCGCAGCAACGGGCGGGCGCCCTCCGAAACCCGATGATGCAACAGCCGGTGATCTGCGGAGAGATGGCGTGTTATCTCAGCAATGTTTGTTTTTCCCCCTCTGCTCCTGTTGAATGTAATTCAGGGGCCAGCGGGTGCTAGTGATGCGGTCACAGGTAACACCTGGGACTACTGGCGTCTGACAGCCAGCATCAACAGTCTCCAGCGGTTTCCTGTTCAGAGCGTCAACAACCACGTTCTCTGAAGCAGGACCATACACAATGTCAACCTTGAGACCACCATGCACGTGTAACCAGCGAGGTAGCACACTGGACGAATTCTTGAAATTCACCAACCACTGCACACTGCCATGGCCTATTCTAAACTTGAGCTTTCTCCCTTGCAAGTAATGCGAAGAAGAGAAAAATGTTGTTTAAACACAACACAAGCCAGCAATTCTTTTTTAGTGGTAGAATAGTTTTTTCTGTGACTTCCAAAGACGTCGACCACCAAATGCAGTGATGCGGTCTACTCCACCCTGCAACTGCAGTAAAACCGCTCATATTCCCTCACCACTTGCGGCACAGCCAAGTGCGAACCAAACAGTCCCAGGACAGAAACGAGGCAGGGCAGGACAACTACCGGGGCTCTTGACAAAGCCGTTTACAGCCAGTCAAAAGCAGTCTGAGTCTGGTCAGACCACTGTAACTTGCTATCAGAACTGGCAAGATCAAACAGGAGGGCAGCAATTTCAAAGCAATCTTTGACGTACATACGGCAAAAAGACGCCAAACCCAAGAAGCTGGCGAGCTCCTTCGCCGTCCACGGCTCGGGCCAGGCGCGGATCTTTGCAACCTTCCCGGAATCAGGTGTCAAACCTTCACCGGACACCACGCTGCCAAGAAAGGTCACTTTGTCACGGAGAAAATGAACTTAGCTAAATTAAGGCCAGCCAAGCCTAATACAGACGTGACGGAACGGCATCGCGCTTCTCGAGCACATTTGCAAATGCGACCCGTGCGCAATAATGTTGAAATAGTTCGCCGGAGACCCCGGGCTCAGGTCACCCAGCTGTTGAAATAGTTCGCCGGAGACCCCGGGCTCAGGTCACCCAGCTGTTGAAATAGTTCGCCGGAGACCCCGGGCTCAGGTCACCCAGCTGTTGAAATAGTTCGCCGGAGACCCCGGGCTCAGGTCACCCAGCTGTTGAAATAGTTCGCCGGAGACCCCGGGCTCAGGTCACCCGGCACAATGTCGAGCGGCTTCGCGCACGTGAGAGGTGCGAACACCCGGCACAATGTCGAGCGGCTTCGCGCACGTGAGAGGTGCGAACACTCGGCACAATGTCGAGCGGCTTCGCGCACGTGAGAGGTGCGAAACTGAGGCCAAACCATACGGCTATAACCCAGGTTTCCAAAAGGAGTGGTGACTGTGGTCTTGTCACGATCCTCAGCGTTAATGGGAATCTGGTAATAAGCGGATTCCCTGGTGATCAGTTGCTGTTGCTGCCACTGTTGCACCTTGTTTAGGTCGGCTGCTTTGGAGCCGTGGCGGCGAATGGTCATACTCAGCGTCCGAGCACCAGATTGCGCTCTCGTCCGCAAAAAGTGAAGAAGTGTCCGGTAGTAGTGAGCCAAATAAATCGTTTATCATGAAAGTATAGAGAACCGGTGAGATGCGGCTTCCCTGTGGGAGGCCGTTGTCTAGTTTGTGAGCGTCAGAGACGGCCAAGTCCGATGAGCTAATGTGCTAAATGGCCTTTAAACCCTTACTGATGGAGCTCGTAAATAGT